AGGCAAATGTGCCCCCAGTACCGCTGACCTCGCCTTCCATTAAACTCACCAATGTCCTTCTTGCAGCTGCCGGTCAAAGCTACAGATCACAAAGTCTTTGGGGACATCAGGATATCTTGGGAGACATCTTTGGGGACATCATGAGCCAGAGCAAAGAGTCTTTAGAAATACTTTAAACTGTCCTTTTCTGCAAGAGTTTAGCATTGAAAGGAATATCTCCAGCCCTTAGGCAATGAAGCAGCTTCTCTAGGCTGCATGGCAGCAGACAGAAATGAAGCCAGAGTCCTAGGAGCCCATAAAGAAATGTGCTGCATGGAACAGGCTGAAGTTCTGGCTGCCGTTGGGGGTAGTCAGCTCATGTTCCTCAYCTGAGCAACTATTTGCTGTAAGCATCAGTGTTTCTTCTCCTGTTTGAAATCTTCTTTTTCTCAGCTTTTATGCATTTCTTGAAGTTAAGAAGAGGCTCTCTTCCAGATGTCCAATGGCAATGCTGCACAGCTGGGTTGCAAGTCATCTTTCCATATCAGCAATGGAAATGGTAATGTCAAAAGTACTTGTCTGGTTTCCCGTATCAGAAAAAGTCACTGTGTGATATCTGTTTTCCTGGAAATTAGCTTATGGGAGTTATTCAGGGAAAATAGCTCCTATTTCAACTCAAAGCTAAYGGGTTTCAAAACATGTAAAGTCCTCCTTATCAGGAGATTCTGGAGTTACTTAAGAGTGTTGCTACACTAGTCACGAATGGAAGCAATAATAAAAATACAAGTTTATGATCATTGTTTCTTTTTCATGTTTCACTTTGTACATTATAAAAAAAAAAAAAAAGGGAAAAAAAAAGGAAAATAAGAACAGTAGCCACTAGAGGGTGTGGAAACCCTCTTTGAGTTGGTATTTAACTCTGAGAGGATCATGGAAATGGGTCTGGCAATCAGACTGGGTCTCCTATGGGCACGCTATCCTAAAGCATGGAAGGTGTGAGATTGAATTTGAGAAACAGTAGCTCAAAACCTTGATTCCCTGCAGAAGGGCGAGGGCCAGTTGTGCGCAGCAGGAGGACCTGCTGCTTCACAAGCAGCAGCTTACGGCTCTGGACCCGTGAGTGGTGCGAGACGCCTGCGAGGGGGAGGCTGCAGGGCAGTGCCTGCATGACGTGATCTGGAAGGACGGGCGGGATCCTCTCCCGAATATGGGGCATAACAGCTCTTGCTGACAAATTTTAAATAGTGAATGATATTAGATGGGTTTTGTAAGCAGGTATCTAGCRTTGGCAGCGTTAAACTAAGCATTATTAGGCTTAGAATGTTCTACAAGAAGAAGTATGGGAGATGAGAAATAAACTTATATATAGCTTCTGTTTTCTTGTTGTCTTTGACATGGGTTTCTGAGCCCAGCCTCTCCGCAACTCCGCTCACGCTGCCCCAGAGCCGGGCGCAGCAGCGTGGCCAGCGTGAGCCCCGCGCCGATGCTGGGCCCACGTGGAGCRCGTGGCTGACACCACCTTGGTGCCCCAAGGTCTCCCGGGACCTGTTTTGCTTCTCGGGACGCCCTGACTCTCACGGCCGTCCCGCCGGCGCTCCGCAGTGTCCCCCCATCCCACGGTGTCGGGGGACACCGCAGACCAAATCCCAGCCACCCATACTGCTAAATAAACTGGGGTGTAGGCAAGGATAAACTAGGAGGAGCCCCCTAAGTTCGGCTTCAGCCTCACCGACTATTCAAAGCACACTTTGAACCCCACTTGGGTTCCCATGACCGCCGATGGATCCAAGTGCCTTTCAGCAGCTCCCTTCGGCCACCAGCACAGGACTTTCCTGCAACCTTTCAGCCAAGAATAAACACCAGAGCACGTGCTGTGCTAAGAGTCTGCCTCACATTGAGTTTTACAGCTTGTTACCTATCTGAAGCATGATTTTTTACTTCTATCCAGTCACTTTCTGCTGAAAAAAATGTATATATATGTGTGTATATATATAAACATAAATATATAATACACACCAGGATTCAATGCAGCAAATTGAATTTCTGCATTGGTTCTGCATCTGTAACTATGCAGAACCATTTGCTGGAGGACTTCCTCATAGCATTCTGCTCTATTCCTGCATTAAAATTATTTGGTTTTGCACACAGAAGTGCAGTATCAAGATGGGGATCATGCTGGAAAATGTTAGGTAGTTCTCCCACCACAGCCCTTAGGGAAATAAATATTGTGGTTCTTCCCCAGCGCCTAACTTCTTAAAACAAAAGGAGACAGTCAAAAGGAGAGTCCAAAATTTGCTTTGGAAGATTTGAAAKAACAGAATGAACTTAAATAAACAAACAAAAAACAAAAAAAAAAACATTAAAAATCAGCACTGATGAGAGCCATCTTAAATCAAATAATTTATTTAATAATTCCATGTAAACACTTTAGATTTACTAGTAAATACAAGGCTTGCTGTTCTTTTAAATAGATAATTCAAAAAATAAGAATCTATTGTTAATGGCAGGTTTACTAGCGAGCTCTGTGCTACTGTACAACAAGAAACTGGTTTTCTATTGAATTGAACATCATGATTTTCCTTGTTTTGCATTTGTTTTACATAGAGCCCCAGGGACACACATTTGAACTGCTCCCTCACGATGCCACTGCTGACTCTGGTGCACGGGGGAAGGTAGGCAGGAAAGCTCTCCCATCCTGGAATTAGTAAATATTGATGTGAAGGTAGGATGGCAGAACTTGAATGAACACTGTTCCAAAAAAAAAAAAAAAAAGCCTTTTTCACTCAGAAAACAGAAAATAAATCATGAAGAACTCTTTCGGATGTATAAAAGCAATGAACTCCACTGTTTGCATTTACTTTTCAATGTAACAGTACATACACACGTATCCGCAGGTCATGGAAAGCATCCTACAAAGTAAAGTGCAGTGGTTCTGAGGCTGGGCACACCAGTACACTAAAACCAAAAGAACGATAGCTTCTTACATAGTCAAATGAAAAATAAATATCTTTATTTTCTGCCTACTTTATTTCAGTTTTCAAATAAATTTTAAATAAATCTGTACAAAGTATACTGTTACAGTATATATTCATTAACTGAAATGCCTAAATATAACAACACTACAATAAAGCAGTATAGATTGGCACATCTCTAACAAAGATTAACTTTTACACTTAAAAAATACTAACTCCCATGAAAACCCTTAAGATATTTTTGGTATTTTTAGGCAAATGATGTTCCAAACAGGTTACATTTGAATTCTCCTCTATGTTAGAAAGAAAACCACTTGCAGACATTTTGCAGAGAAAGTGAACATCTATGTACTTTTAAAGGGACACTATCAGGCTCATATACATATATATATACACACACACACACACACACATACATATATATGTACATATATCTATATATACACGCATATATATGTATATACATGTATATATGTGTGTGTGCGTATATATGAAGTTTCGGAGAGAAACGTGGATCAAGAAAACTGCAAGTTTTAGACGCCTAAAAGCTTGCAGGGCTCTTGCTGAGCTGTGATCCAGCTCAGGGCCGCGGGCCTCCTCCGGAGCCACGCGTTGCGCATGGGAAGGGAGCAGGACTCGCTTTTCCAGCCGAAGAGACTCCAAGTCCGGCCGTTCCCTCGGCACCCGGAGCTGCACCGCTCCCAGGTGCACACTGCCCCAGGAGTGCTTCGAGCCAACTAAACAAACTGAAAGATAAAAATAAAAAATGAATTTCCCCTTGCAGTTTAGAAAGAATTTGCAGGCATGAATTGAGGGTTCATTTTGCTTTTTTCTTTTGAAAAAAGTTTTTTTTTTTTCCGTTTCTTTTGATCTGACAGTGTCCCTTTGCTCAAAATAAAGGCTTCCATACTATGTAGATTAGATATTGAAGCAATCTCATTCACTACAGACAGGGTGAAAAAGCCAGGTACAGTTCTAAATCCAAGTTTTCAAAAGACAGGATCCAAGAGCAGTTTCAGGACCTTTTGACATCTCATAATTGTCCATTACATGGTTTTCAACCAGGAACTGGGCGAATATATATTACAGCTTAMGAGTGAAATTTTTCTCTCTTCCTAGTTCCTCCATGATACATTAAATCAGTGTTTACATGCTGAAAGTTAATCTTACATTAGAATGTAATGCAATATTGGCTGCAACATAAATCTAGAAATAAATCCAAACTAACATAGATTAAACTCCGTTAAATATTTCCAAGTTAATAAAATATTGACAGTATTATAAAATTACAGTATTTACAATAAGAAAAAAAATCGAGGCTAACACATATCTTTAACAGATGTGGACTTGCAACCGAATCGTGACTCCGTGGCCAGTTTACCACCGAGTTGCATTGCACTATCGTGTTTTCCCCATTAGAGCTAGAGAGGATGATCTAGCGCTGGCTTTGGGAACGCAACTGACTCCTCGTGGTGGGCTGTGGCTTTGAGCACCCAACTGGTAAGAGGAGTCCTCCACAAGGCGTCTGAAGAGAATGCAGGAGCAGGCTCAGCTGCTCAGGTGACAGTTGTGCTATAGGACTGCGAGCAATCAGAACCACCACCGGCTGCAAAAGGGGAGGAAAGGTAGTTTTCAGCTCAAGTGCACAGCTGCAAGGCTCCCGGCTTTATGGCCTCCAACTAAGGCTGCAGGAGCTTTGGTTTGCACGAAAGGGAAGATAACTTTAGCTTCTGTTTCACTGGGATGGCATTAGTCGATTGAGCTCCTTAAAGGGACATAGTCAGGCTGCAGTTCCACTGAAAATGCTCTTGCCCACCGTAATCTATGGGATAGAATATCTGGAGTCACGTTTTTGTTGTGCTCCGTTTTGTTGGGGAGGATGTGGGTGTGGGTTTTTTTCCTTCTTTTTTTTAATTTATTTTTTGGATTTCATTTGGTCAGAAGAGAAGAATTTGGCTGGGGCTGAGCACTCGGCTCATTTTCTATTCCTCACCAGCTTCTCTGTTTCTTGAGTATTAGCAAAACACTCTTGTGTCGGCTTGCAAACACTCGCAGAAAAGGAAGCTCTGGCACTTCCCAAGCTTCTTTGGCTTGGTATAACCGCCAGATCCTGCAAATCGTATGGGTCCTCTACAGGATTGGATACGGACCCTCCAAATCCTGCGGTTTTGGAGTCTCACCTGCCTAACAATGTCCTTTTAAGGCTCAAACCATTTACCTGCCTTTTCTCTCTGCTTCGGAGCAAGAGTTTGCCAGGAGCTTAGAAAAGGTGATGTCCAAATTCTCTCCCTCCTCCCCATTTCATGCTTTCTTTACAAACGAGAAGGTTTGCCTTCCAGCAGAATAAATAACAAAACATATGAAGGAGTGGGAAATCATGTCCGAATCCTGCTCCTCCCCTCCCTTCCCCCAGTCCTGCTTGCTGTAAAACAGAAATGTCATTTCCGAGCGTAAACTGTCGAATCAATATTTTCTCAGCTCAAGCCTGGAGACTCTGGTGAGAGAACTACCCCCAGGCTCCCAAAAGGCGACCCAATTTACGCATCTGGAGGGCTTCCTAGCAGCTCCCGCGCCAGGCTGATGGGAACACCTGTATCCTTAACAGTATCCTTTAAAAATGTTAAGCAGCAATCGGTAAGCTCGGGTCTACGTTACCAACAGAAGGGTCTAGGTCCCGTGGGCTCCTTTTCCAGAGATGCAGATCAGGAAAACGAGAAAGAAAACTTGGAACCTTTCATTTACCTGCTGGTTTGTACTGGGGGGAGTGGGGAATGAGAGAGACGAAATGACAACTGACCTTATAAACAAAGGTATGTTTAGGGCTTCTGGTTTCAGGAATAAACCGATATTTACTGGTAAAAGTCTGCCAAAAAACAAAAACAGAAACACAGGATTACTGGTAAATATTGGTTTATCTGGAGAAGACAAAAAAAAAAAAATAAGAAAAAGAAAAAATCAGAAGGTCATTTTGTTCCTGATCTCCATAGGTTCAATTTCTGCAGTCCTGGGGCACGCTACGCTGGGACGAGAACACGCCGGCGCGGGAGCTGAGCGCTCGCCTAGCGCCTCCCTACGCTCAGCTGAATTTTTGGCAAACCAACACCTCAAACCAGAAGCCTCATGTTTCAAGGAAAGCCGGATTTCTTTTCTGTGCCTCTTTCTGGATTTTCTCCCTTTCCCCAAAAGACTGCAGCTAACCGAGCGGTTCTGGAAGGTGTTTTTCGCTGACAGCCCAGGAGATGGAAAGCTTTCATTTGAAACTACCTGGAAATGAAGTTGTATATAATATGGTATCTCATGATGAAGGCTGCTTGCACCTGAGCCTCTAGGTTTGGACTGCTGTCAACGGCAGGAGACACCATAAAATATACAAGACTGCGGGTATATTTTTAATAAAGGATTTTCTTATAAGTGGCATAAACCCATTTGTTTTATTTACATGCTTATTTATTTCCAAAAATATAGAGTTGGTCCACATTGGACAAGAGAAATCAAGAAGTCATACAGTAGAAGAGTTAAAACTCCAACATTTAACCAAAGTACAATGAAATTCCAGAATTCTGTGGCTGATTAAACCACAAAAACATACACATGAGCCACACAGACATTTGTACATATAGCATCATATTACCAATAATATTTGCAAACATGAGGTCAAGATGGCTAAAAAAGTCAAAAACAATAGAACAGAATATAGATCATGACTGAAAAGAAGCAGGTTTTCAATGACTTTAACTACCAAGGGAGAATACAACTCTCCAGAGCTGCTTCAGTTTTGTTTTGTTTTTCCTTGTACTGAGAAAAATTCTAATTTGTCATCGCGGGGCATTAAAATTTTGTATTCATATTTGACATGGTGAGAGCCAACCACATTTGACTTCCTAAACACAAACTCAACAGTGACAGTAAACCAGCCCACTAACTACATGAACAGCATCACAAAGAGCAAATTCTTTATTTATTGTACCTTGGAAGATACCAGAATGCACGTGACCGAAGTATAAAATACTGCGGAACTCCACCAGTAACCSCCCAGGAGCTGGCTGTGCTTGGTAGTGATGTGCCGATACTGCACACGCACATGGGGAAACACGAGCCGTGCCTACGACCTTCTGGGCCAAAGACCTGCGACGGCCTCCTGGACAGAGACGCTACCGAACTTAAGTTCCACAGGAACTTAAGGAAGCATTTCTTCACTGTGAGGGTGACAAAGCACTGGAACAGGCTGCCCAGAGAGGTTGTGGAGTCTCCTTCTTTGGAGATCTTTAAAACYCGCTTGGATGCAGCCCTGTGCCACGTGCTCTAGGTRACCCTGCGTGWGCAGGGGGGTTGGACTCGATGACCTCTGAGGTCCCTTCCAACCTTCGGCATTCTATGATTCTATGAACTAGCCCAAGGCCTACAGGACTGCTGCATGGTGCCGAGTTGCACAAAGTGAAGCCAAAGCCAAAACTGCAGCCCCAAATTTACAAACCTCCAGTTTTACACTAAAGCTGTGCAAATTCCCCAGGCAGGGTCTCCTTCCCACACCCCTCAACGTGCTGGCCCTGCCCATCTCCTCTAGTCCCAGCCCAGCAGATGCTGTGCTGTCAAACATCACCTGGAAAAGAAAAAAKAGGGTGGATTTGATACCCTTCTTGCGGCTGTGGGGTGGCTGAGGAAGGTCCCAATGAGGTTCGTCTTTCAAAGAAGGGATTCCCTCTCTTGCTACAGGTAATTTTGGGCATTGAGGATGAAGGCCCTGTCTACCTTTCTTGGAAGACTGCAAATCCTCAAGCCTGAACAGACTTACAGTATTAGAGGAAGTGATATCTGACTGATGAGTGATTTCTTTTTTATTTTAAACTACTTCAAACCACTTTTTTTTTTTTTTTTTTACTTTAAAAATGTCAATCTGATGACAGCTGCAGGAAAAATAAGCACAAAAAGAGGCATTATCCCTGTGTTATGGCCTCGTTCAGCTACCTATTTACTCATCCTCATCGTAACAATATCTCTGTGTCTGCAAAGGTTGGAAAGAACACATTGCAATGTGTATCTTTCAATTAAACTTTTTCAAATAAAGGTGAAGTGTGCTTCTAATCTCCATGTTTGGGTTCTTTTGCAGAGCAGAACAAGGAAAATAGGAAAGACAATTTTGGCACTCCGGGGAGGTCTACAAGAAGACAAGCAAATCAAACCCTATGTGGGGCAGAACTACAGCAAAAGGGTATACATTCATTTTTTCTTTTTCAAGTCATATTTGACATTCACAATACTAGGCCCAGTCCAATGTGGATGCAAGTATAGAGCTAACTTACAGAACACCAAGAGTAATTATCTGTACCTATACGGATTTAAAGGCAGGAATACTCAGTACATTGAAAAAAGAAATACTATTACCAAAACACCAGAGCTTTAGCAGCAGTTAAATGGAAACATTTACTGCCGTGCAGTTTTCTATGTGGACAGACAGCTTTTAGTACAAGTCACTATTGTCATCTGAGTCTGTAACAATTTTTGTTTTTCTGATTTGTGTTCTGGAGTATCTCTAATCTCAGATGTGGAATATATATTTAAAAAAAGGGCTGATCCCATGCAGCTGGGTACGTACAACACTCCCAAATGAAACCCAAAGCCCAAATTCCTACAGAGCGAGCACAAGAGATTTTTCATTGTCTTACATCAAATAACTAACATGCAAACATATCACAACTTTTTATATATATATTTTTATATATAACGTACTTCAAATTTAACTAGAATTGAGCAATCTAATGAAATTAGTATTTCTAGGGAAAGGGGATACAGGTTCTGTCATTGTCAACCACCAGGATACCAAGGGAAAAACAGCATGGGAACACCTTGGAGTGCTAATGAACGGTATTTAACATGAGTTCAAACACAACTGCATCTAAGATCCTAGCATCTAATTGTACAATATCCAGATATTTCTTACGGTAGTCTTTATACAGCTCTCGTCTATTTACTTCTTCTACCCAAAACCACGTCCTGAGGGAAAGATACTCTTCCTTCTGAGCAGGCAAATCATTTAAAGGCTAATAACAACAATATCATTAGAGTATGAAAAAGTACTTTTTCTTTGTATTCTGCCTTGCATTTCGCACGGTCAGACCTAACCAAACTTGGCTAGGCCCTTAGTCACTTCCAGGCTCAAGAGAGGTCACTAACATCAAATGACTCCTCTGTGGGCTCCTAATTGCCAATTCATATTTTTAAGCCCCCATATATTTAAGATTAATAGAAAGACTTGAGGCTAAACTGGGTGGTTGAGCTTAATGTTTACTCTTCGCTATCTACATCTCCTGAAGGCAAGGAGAAGAGGAAAAGCAAGGGGATTTGCTGTGACTTCTGGAGGTTTAAGATGTCTCAACCTAAACTAGAGCAGTGTAGGGTTGCTCTAGCTTACACCAGTTACCTCTGCTTCCTTACATGTCTCCTGGAAGGAAACGCAACAAAGGCATGCATGAACACACACGTACAGACACAGACAACACTCGCTGGAGAGCAGAGTTGCACCAGAACGGCTTTCGTGGCCTGGAAAATATTGGACAGGCCTTTTTCTGCACCCCTTYCCTTTTTGCTCAATGCCAAGACCAAAACCTTTCAGATTTTTGGGTCAAAACAAAATAAAACTGAATTGATCCAGAGTTAGTTGCTGAGGCACACTCTGGAGTGTGGCAGCCCTGCACTTTGAGCTCAGAGGAGGGATCTGAATTAGGGCTGTCACATCACAGGAGAGCTCAAGATTTCATCCAACCAACTATTCTGGGGTTCGTTTCTTTCTTCAGACAGCCAGGCTTTGCAGTCTGGACCTAAATGCACTCACAATAAAAATTTAATGATCAGCCATTCGCTGCCACACAACGTTGGTTTTAGTGAATTGGTGTTTTCCAGGGGAAACTCGCTTGTTAAGAGGCTGTAGGCCTACTCAAGACCTCCCCCATGCTCAGGAAGTCTTGGGTGGCCATCTCAAACGTGACTTTTGTCTGTCTTTGGACTTCTGTGCTACCTGTGATGAACATTGGCTAGAACAGAAGAAGGAACCATGAAATTGCTCTTCTTGTTACATGAATAATTTTTAAATATTTTCTCAGGAGGACTTTAACAAAACATTTAAAAATATTCAAATAAAGATGAGCTGACTCTCCACCTCCTGTTGTTTGTCAATATGTCCAAAGATTCTGGTAGATTACCTGGAAAACGAGATCTATCTTTGCAGAAAGTATACTGCTTGTCACCTATCACGCACACAAGCAATAYAGCATTTCAGTTAAACCTTCTCAGACCAGAGCTAAAGGTCACTCATCTGCAATTCTCATTATTAGTATGTTATCTAGTCATGGACAATTCTAAACTATTTTTTAACAAGAGCTTATTTTTGCTAGCAAGTTAGTGCTTCAGCCTCAAGCTACTTCAAAACTTGCAGTTACACCTTTTGCTCTAGCATTTCTGCCTTAGCCTCTTGAATTTCAGAGAGGCTCCTCATCTTAATCATGTCAAAAGACTGGATCACACACAGGTATGCACTCAAACACACAATTTGCTCCAGAATGAAACTTAGAAGTTAGTCAAGTACAATGAGAAAGTACAGAAAATTAACCGTTCTTTCGTTTCTACAGACTGAGGTTTCTCCTTTCTCCCTGGTATACTGAAAATAATGGTTCTCTGAGGCCTCTGGCTCTTCAAAGCCCCTCCAAATATATTTAACTTTCAGATCACAGATTAGCTGCCATGGSTTTCAATCTGCTTCACAAGAGTTGGACTTTGGTCTTTTGAAAGAGTATCGCTGGACACTTCCTTCATAGCTGTTTTACTGTACTGATTCGCACCTCAACACTCGAGCTCTTTCATGCCAAAAAG